TAGGACAATCAGCTATGAAGTGACCGGTTTGACCACAACCATAGCAAAACCTCTTCTTGTTCCTTCTCTTCCCATCACCATAAGTCTTCTGGTTGCTCTTCTTCTTTATGAACTTTCTAAAGTTTCTAATGATGAGTGCAACTTCTTCATCGACTCTTCTTCTTCACTTGAGGAATCATCCTTCACTTTCTTCTTCTTCTCTTAACTAGAAGATTTGTCTTCATGAGCTTGAGTTGCCTTTAGGGCTGCATTCTTGTTGTATCTCATTGCATTAGGATTTTGATTGTGAGTATTGATTGCATCTTCATCTAGACACTCATGATGCTTGAGCTTTGAAAGAACTTCTTGGGGTCTCATCTCATTATAACCGGGCCTTTCCATGATCATGGACACTAGCATGTTATTATTGGCTCTAGAAATTCTCAACATCTTTCTAGCAACCTTGTTATCATCCCATTCGGTGCTTCCAAGAGCTCTTATGCTGTTGACCAATGCCATAAGCCTATCAAATATGGATTGTGTTGTTTCATTTTGCAATAACACAAATCTTTCCAATTCACCATGAAGTAACTCAATGTTGCCTTTTCTCACACTCTTATCTCCTTCAAATGACACTTTCAAAGTATCCCAAATTTGCTTTGCACTTTTTATTCCATTTACCTTTCTAAACTCATCCGGACTTAGGCTTGACATAAGCAATGCTATGGCTTGTGCATTTCTTCTAGAGTTATCTCTCTATCTTCATCGGTAGGAATCATCACACCAACATCCACAACTTCCCAAAGTCTTGCTGCAATGAGATGCATCTTCATCTTGTTGGACCAATCGGTGTATCTTGTTTCATCAAAGTAGGGTGGCTTGTCAATATTGACGGAAGGAGTATGTAGAGGTGAACCTTTGATGAGTTGTCCATAGTCAAAGTTCATGTTTGAATATATTCACTTTCCATGAGCACACTCACTGGCTCCAATATCACTAGCGGCATCTTTGTTTGCTTCATTCTTGCCACTTGTTGCATCATTCTTGCAACTTATTGAATCATCAACCTTCTTGCTCAATTCTTCCTTCATCATGCTCATCTCATCTTTTATCTTTTTTATTTCATCTTGGAAGAACTTGACTTGAGCAGCCATCAACTCTTTAGCTATCTTCTTGGTAATCTTGATGGCGTCGACTTGCATCTTGTCGGTCTCTGATATTGTTTCTTCTCATGCGGTGAAGCACTATAAGAAGAAATTGCCCTAATACCAATTGACAGGATCTAAACAATGCCTAGAGGGGGGTGAATAGGCACATCTAAAAATTTCTGCGTAAAGTCAAAGTCAAATGTCAGTGATAGTCGGAAGTCCTGACAGTTTCTATTGGAACTTCTAGCACCCGGAAGTTGCGACGCAAACAGCTGGGACTTCCGACACCTACGATAATTGTACTACAAGTGCTAAAACAAACTTTGAGTGAAAGATATCTTACAACCCCACTCCCTAGTGATAAGGTGAAGTGTTAGGGTTGCTTCTTTGACGCCTGAAGGTCACCACTTCATAGATCGAGTCCAAACCCTAGGAGGAGAATTTGAGAGAAATACAAACCAACTAGAACAAATATGATAGCACAAATCACAACAACAACAAGCACGTGGAACACAAGAATTTATCCTAAGGTTTGGCAACCCCACAAAGGAGCTCCTACGTCCTCGTTGTTGAGGTGACCACAAAGGTCGGGTCTCTTCCACCTCCTCGCCTCTCTCAAAGCAACCAAAAAGGTCACTCGAGCTTTCCACTAAGAAATCAAGGGTAATACAAACTTCCTAAGGCTCTTCCTCAAGATGAAAGCTCTTGGGCGACGCCTAGCTGGCTAGGGTTCCAAGAACCCAAGAGTAATAGATGCAAATCCAACCGGCTTGACGAAGAAACCAAGTGCTCAAGCTTGTCAAAGTGATTTTCTCACTCAATCCACTCTCTTTTCACTCAAGACCCTAGGGGAATCAAAGATTTAACCAAGGGGGAGATGAGAGGGGTTCCTTGAATGCTTGGGACCTATTTTGGACGAAGGTTGGTGAGCAATGAATGAGTAGACTTTGGTTAGAGGAGAGGAGAGATCTATTTATACTCAAGGGCAAATCCAACCATTCAAATCTGAGTTGGAAGTTCCGACATAGATCACCGGAACTTCTGGCCCAACGCAAAAACACTATTCACATAGACAGTCCACTAGGCTTGCTCACATATTGTCGGAACTTCCGGCGGTTGCCGGAACTTCCGATAGTCGGGACTTCTGACTTCCGTCGGGACTCCCGATAGACATGATGAGCCAGGCAACTAAGTCCCAAGGCGTCAGGACTTCCAGCACCCGGAACTCCCAACTCCCGTCGGGACTTCTGACGGGCGAAGCTGCGTAGGTGGCCAAGTCGTGAAGTGTCGGGACTTCCGGACAGAGCCAGAACTTCCGGCACCTGGAACTCCCGACTCCCGTCAGGACATCCGACGGGCAACGATGCGTAGACGGGCTGCGGCTAAGTCAGCAAGCATCGTGACTTCCGGCACCAAACGTCGGAACTTCCGACAGTAGGAACTTTCACCTCACGCCAGGACTTCCGATTACCAAAAGTCCACAAACTATGTCCAAGTGTTCGTGATGTGATTTTGTGTCTCTCTTTTGATTTTATTTTTTATGCTTGAGCACTCTATCTTTCTCATACCACCTAAACTTGTATCCCTCTTTATAGTACGGCACACCTAAACCCAAAATAAAATAAAAGGGCTTTGGAGAGCGCTTTGGGTTCCTCCGCTTTTTGTACTTTAAGAATTGAAGGACAACATTTCATCTTAGATCACCTCTTTTAAAGCTTTCAAGGGACTAAAGCTGCAATATATCTCATTAAGATCTCATTAGTCCCTAATTTGGATGTCATCAATATACCAAAACCCACATAGGGGGCAAATGCACTTTCAGCCACCACCTTAGGAGGCAAGCAAGGGCGTCCACGACGAGTTGGAGGCCCAATCCAAGTCAAGTTCAAGTCCATCTCGGGTTCTAGGAGCAGCGTGTAGTAAAACGGACGCCCAGCTCGCATATGGACTCCGTTTTCAAGGATCCACATATGGTTGGAAAGATAATTTGATAAGGCAACCAATGGATGTGGTCCCATATCAAAATTCTTTTCCAATCAACAGGAATCATCAAAAAAAGTTGACATCCAAAATCAGTCAGGGCGCTGCATCGCCGTCTTTTGGGCCGTTTGGGTCTTGTAACATGCTGGGGCTCCTTATGACGTGAATAAGGGTGCTTGCATGCCCCTTAGGCTATATATTCAGTAGCCGCTGCCTGCATTAGGGTTTGGGTTTTGCTTTAGATCAATCTATCTTTGAACAGTCACCGTGATCGGTTTGTGAAACCCCACATTCGAGAGCTTAATCATATATCCGCAGTTGTCACTTCACTTGAGTTGCATTTTATCTTATTCTTGCTTGTGTTCTTCGATTCGCAGCAGGGATTAACCTTCTTGGCGAGGTCAACCGGATTGTGACACAGTTGATAACCAGAGGAGACGTGGTGCTAAGGTTATAGGGTTCGAGTCTTTGTGATCTGAAGCCAGATCGGTGTGTCGCTCTTTGCCCAAATCGATAGTTATCTTGATCCTGACGGAAGATCGGGAACCTCGTCCCCATCACTAGTGAGTGGGCCTAGGGTTTAAAAAGGTTATATATGTATCTATGTCTATTGGGCTGGGTCTTTTTCTTTCTATTACTTGGCCTTAGCAATTATTTCGGTTTCTCGGTTAACAGAGCTCAAGAACTGAATTAACCCAGCTTATTTCGGTTACCTTGAACTGGGAACCGAACTGGAAACCAAAATATTCGGTTTCGGTTAGTTCGGTTTTGGTTCCGGTTATTTCGGTTTAGTTTTTTATTTTTGGTTATTTTTGCCTAGGGTTACGTACATGTGCAGACCTCCAAGCATCGAGGTCTTGAATAAGCCATAACACCCATAACTTCTTTTTTTTAGAATTACACGGTACAAGGTAGACGTCCACAATATGTACGCACACTCACCCCTATGAACACACGTACGCAAACCCTAACCCTATGAGCACCTCCAAAGGACTGAGCCGGCAGATCACGAGATTCACGAAGTCACCACAGGTGCTTCACTGTCGATGGGGACGTCGCCTACCATTGAAAGTATATTGCCTTTAAATCCTGGAATAAATCAAGGAAAATGCGAGCACCCTTGCTAGGTTGAGATCTTGAACCCGGGTGGCAGGTTCCACCACAAGGAACCCTACCAGCTGATCTATGATCAGTTCGCATAACACCCATAACTTCTGACTCTAGACATTGCTGAAGGTATTTGAATACTTGTTGGAAAGATCTTGAACTCTACTTTTCAAATGGATCTAAGCTCATGGTCAAATTCCATTGGAGTTGATCAGAATCGACCATAAGATGTTTAGACCACTAGTCATAGGCTGAGTCCTCCCACTAGAGGCACATTCTAAGCAAGGGTTTACAGCTCCCCATGCCTTCTGGCTATGTTTTACCTATAAATACTAGGTTGAGTTCTTGTTTAGATAAAAGATTAGCTTCTAGCTATTTATCTGTAACGCGTGTGTTGATCTAAACCATCCAGTTGCTGGTATCTAGAACCCCAAATTCATGATGCATATTCCATCTCTTAGATAAGGTGTATGTGATGTTTGCTTGCCCACTTGTTCTTGCTTTGTTCTTCGATTTGCTCACAAGTTTAAAGTTGTTCTTGGCATAGTAAGAATAGCAAGAAATCAGAGCCAGTGTAACCGTCACTAAGGTGCCGCGCACCTGTTGTAGTTACACAGCACAACATGGAATCTACCCTAAATCTAAATTTATCACCACTCACCGAAGGACTAGAGACAACCTTTGTAGTATCACTCGCCCCCGTTGGATATTGAGATATGAATTAAACAAACAGAAAACCTTTTTCATCATAATAAAAGAGTAAAAACACACGCTCTTCCAACCACCCTACCCATTACTCGACGTGGCACCGGCGACGGCTACTGCGACTTCGACAGGGAACCGCCACCGTCTTCCACCGGTGACGGTGACGGTGATGCTGACGCGATCACCTCTATGCTTTCCAATGTTCCAACGCTCCTCGCCGACAACTGCCTGCTTGTGCTGAACCTCATCGGCGACGGCGACTTGGACGGGACAACCACGATTTCTGATATCCCCGGAGGCGGTGACTTTGAGCATGTATCGTCCACCCTGGCATACACCTGCGGCGTCGGAGACGGAGTCCTCGACCCAATGTGAAGCCTTGGCGATGGTGATTTCGAGACGATGATGTTCTCCCCAAATCCACTTGTCGAGCAGGAACAGCTGTTTCTCAACGGCGATCGCGCCAGGACCCTCGATGCCGTTGGCCGCTCCGGTGACACACCGCACCGTCGCAGCTGCGGCAGCGGCGGGGACATGCCCGCCTCGGCCATCCGCGCACGCTCGGGCTCCGGGTGCGCGCGGCACACGGGGCACGACGAGTGCGCGCGCAGCCAGGCGTCGATGCAGCCGCCATGGAAGAAGTGCCTGCACGCGGGCAGCACGCGCACGACGTCGCCGTCCTCCATCTCCTGCAGGCACACGACGCACTCCACCGCCCGGCCCGGCGTCCTCCCCTTGCTGCCGCTCCTGCCGCCACCGTGCGGCGACGCCAACGCGGTCCGCGCCCGGTACGTGAACGTGGGCAGCGCGGCGATTTCGTCCACGCTAAGCCCGAGCCTCGTCCCGGACGACTCGGCCTCGGAGTGGCCACCTGCCTGGAGCCGGCGCCACTCGGCCAGGACCGACTGGCCATGGCGGAAGGCCATGTAGAGCATCACGCCGGCCAGGACCGCGATGATGATGTACAGCAGCGTGAAGTTGGAACTGGAGGTGCCGGGTGCCGCCGGGTCATCGCCGAAAGGGTCGGGCGGCGGCGAGACGGTCACGGTGGTGGACATGTCTGCTGCTGCTGCTGCTGCTGCTGCCTCCAACGAGAACGTCCGATTCCGATGACCTGGTCTAGAGATGATTTCAGAGACGACATGTCGCTGGGAACCGATCAAATCATTGAGCTGTGGTTGACGTGAGGTTTAGACGGAGGCATGAAAGGGGATGTGTGCGCCGCATGCATGCCAAGTGCATGATAGATTTGCAGTTGGGTCGCTAGCTGGACTCGGCCTGGGTTAAGAAGACATGACGTTGCGTGCTAAATATCATATGATAACCTTGTAAATTGCATGTTACTGATGTTCAATTGTTCATACAGACTAACTGGATAATTATGTTGAGTTGTTGCTGACTGGCTGGTGTTCTTTTGTCCTCTGTGTGTAGTTTAGTTGTCGAACTGCCGGGCTTCGCATCGATCGATCGATCATTCAGGGTGCAGGCATGATTGGTGATCCTAGAATAGTGAATAGTTCAGTTGAATTTGCTGGTAGACACTTGGATAGGGTCGAAGTCAACCTCGTAGTGGTTCGAAGTCAACTTATGCATGTATTCTTTTTTAACAGAAAAATCGAATAAACAACCGTCAGCCTGTTCGGTTGGCTGGTTTATATCGTTGTTGGTTCGTGAAGAAGTACTGCTGGCTGGTTTATGTGAGAGAAAAATATTGTTTCGACTGAAATTTACGATCGTTTACGACAAGGCACAGCCAAACGAACAGGCAATCTTTATTTTTGCCCACTGATGCCACCTGTGCCCTGGTTTATGTTGTCCGTCAGATCTTGCTTTCTCTTGTTTTGTTTTGTTTTCTCACCCTACGTGTAGGTCCCACACGTCATTGTCTATTCAATACCACAATTGCAGTTAGCTTGTGCTGAAATTACAGCTACTTTACACGGAAAGTCAGAGTCAATTTTACGGTGTATCTTTAAGCACAATTATGGTGTATTGGTCCCAAATCCAATATCGCGAGCATTCACTCGATTCTTGCGCAGCGAACGACGAGTGAACGGCCATGTCTGCCTAATCGGACCTCTTCACAACGTACGTTTCTCTTTTTTTTCCCCTCTTCTGCCCTCGAATCGACTGATTCTAGATGTTTTTTCTTTCTTTTTTCGTTTCTTTTTTACCATTTTTGAATTTTTTCACTTCTTTTGAACTAGTTTAAGTTGTGCAGCAGAATTTTTGTCTCTGTCTCCGTAAGTTAAACAGACATCCAAATTTTGTACATAAGTTATGTGCACAAGTTATATATAATAAGTTATGTACACAAGTTGTATAGAATAACTTATGTATACAAGTTGTGTTTAATAACTTTTATACATATGTTGTATTTCATAGCTTTTGTGTTTTTAAGATTTGGTTTAAGTTATAAGTTAATTCGTTCCTTTTGTATTTAATAACTTTGGTGTTTTAAAGTTTGACATAAGTTATAAGTTAATTTGTTCTTTTGTGTTTAATAATTTTTGTGCATAAATTGTGTTTCATAACTTTGTGTATATAAGTTATATGTTATATGTTAGTATGCATAAATTGTTACAAGAATAAATTTTTTTGAAACATATGTAAGTGGGGTCTAGTTTTATTTATCTCATGACATAGAACACACTGGTACAGATTGAATTAAAAATGGATATACCGTTCAGAAGATAGATTAATTTAAAATAAATATTTTGCTTTTTCGTAACTTATGTAAGGTGACGTCACATGTCACATCCATTGAAAATGAGAAGGAACGTGACTGATGAGAGAAATTAATTAATGTCCATTTGCATGAGAGCCTATGCCAAAATAATAAAGTGCCCGACACGCCTCCCTGAGAATGGAAATTAATATGCTGTCGGATCGTTCCCCCAATTTCCAATCAGTGATCGTTCGCTAATTAGCGTGGCCGTGTATCGGTGCAGATGAAAATTAGGATGTTTGAGTCCATTACGGTGCATGATTTTGGCTCAACTGAACTTTTCTGTCAAGCAAATCTTAGTCATATTACGTTGCCCGAAACTGTATAGATGATTTGAAGTGAGGCCTTGATTAGTTTTCAAAATTTTTTGCCTCCTATAGTAAAAGAGCATTTTTTATCACATGTATGGAGTACTAGATGTAGACGAAAAAAAACTAATTGTATAGTTTTCGGCAAAATCGCGAGACGAATCTTTTAAATCTAATTAGTCCATGAAAAGCTTTAAGTGCTACAGTAACCCCACATGTGCTAATGACAGATTAATTAGTATCATTAGATTCGTCTCGTAGTTTCCTGATAGGTTCTGTAATTTGTTTTTTTTATTAGTATCCAAAAACCCCTCCCGACATCCTTCTGACATATTCAATGTGACACCCAAAAATTTTCACCTCCCCAACTAAACACACCCGGACATAGAGGGTAGTAGAACAGAGTAAGCGCTGAAAGAGAGGATGAAATGAATGTGTTCGGTGGTAGGATCGACTTCTTGTCATGTCAGTCAACCAAAATCTCAGTTGCTTGTTAATTTGTTATGGGGATTAATACATGAACTCATCTGCATCTGCATGACAAATTCGCTGGGCAGAATGAAGCATACAAAATTCTAGCCTGAAAAGTGAAAAACCAAGTACATTTTTGCGAGCTCTACACTCCGACGTCGTGACTCCAACGTTGCCGGAGAAGGTGCTCTTGTCCTGCACATTCGGCTGTCCGGCGTTCTTGAACGAGTCGGCGATGGTGACATTGCCAAACTAGCAACCATAAGTTCAAAATGCACGGGGGACCTGACTGGAGACGGCGACCTGGATGAGGCGTTCTTGGCTCCCGACGTCTCGCCTCCCTCGGGCGACACCGACACCGCCACCGCCACCTCCTCGAACCGGCGCAGCTGTGGGAGCGGCGGCGACAGAGACGCCACGCCCAGGCGGACTTTCTCAGGGCCCGGGCTCCCCCGGCACACCGGGCACGTGGCGTGCGACAGCAGCCACACGTCGACGCACTCCGCGTGGAAGTAGTGCTTGCACGTCGGCAGCATGCGCACCAGCGCGCCCTCGCGGAGCTCGTGGAGGCAGACCGAGCAGCAGTCCGCCGCCGCCACGGCCGAGGCGCCGGCGCCCTTCGCATCGCCACGCCCGCGGCTGTCCGGCGACGCCGCGCGGTACGTGAACGTCGGCAGCACGGCGACGTCGTCGGGACGGAGGCCGAGCGCCTGCACCGGGCGCGGCCGCGCGGGCCTGGCGACAGCGTCTCCGGCGCCAGTGCCTGCCGCGACAGCATCAGCGTTGGCGTCGTATCGGCGCGTCAGGAAGACCGAGTTGAAAAAGCGGCGGGTGAAGTCGAGGAGGACGTAGAGGACGATGGCGACGAAGACGCCTATGCCCGCGTATTGCGCCGTCGTGGACGCCGAGGCGCCGGGCATTGCCGCGGAGATCGATATCGAGCGCGGGGAGATTCCGGAGATGGAGAGAGTTTGCAGAGCGGAAGGGATCGATGTGAGACAATCACAGAAATGTCACCGGAAGTTGTGTGCGTTGTGCATTATTTCTTCTTTCGTGGAGGTTGAGGCGTTGGGCAGCAGTACTGCCGTAGTCGCTAGTAGTGTGGTATGCCATGGAATGGAAGGGTAGAGGTAGGGAGATGGTTGGCACGTAGCTGAACGCGGCATTTTGCAGGGTGATTGATGCTTCCCGTGCCTATTATAGCGACTTATTGGACCTGCAAATTATATATTTTGTACATGACCAACCGGGTAGCCTGGCTAGACACATTGTCGGATTAGAGTCGGGCAGGCATGGCACCGAGAGACAGGACAATGACGTGCCTGCCCACAGGCTCAGTTGGCAGTGCCAGTTGCCCAGGAATCATCTCGTCCGACCGGTCGGACGGGAGCTCTCTGACGACCACCTCCCCTCCTGTTTTATTTTCTAGTGTTTGGCCCAACAATTTAGTTTCAGCCTATTTCGCTTGTACCAGCGTGCAACAAAACACATTGATATTGGGCTGTTTGTTTTTCATTAACTCGAATAGTGTAAGTGCATAGTTTTTCTTTTTTCTTTTTTTCTTTTCTTTCATTGCTTCTATTTATTTTTCCATTTTATTTTTTGTGATTTTTATTATTTTTTCATTTTATTTTTTCCTTTTTAATGTTATCAATATTTCATTTTTTCATGTTTTATTCTTTTTTATTTTCTTCCTTTTCTTCTACTTATTTTTCCTTGATGTCTTTTTTTTATTATTTTCTTGATTTTCATTTTTTTAATTTATTTTTTCCTCTTTTCATTTCACTCTATTTTTTCTTTTTTATTTTCTGTATTGCATGAGATATATACGATGTTCACATAACATGTGATGTCATATGATTTATTTTATGATGTTTACGTAGTAGAAATAGATGGTTTACGCTTTTCTTTGAATATTCATGTAATACTCACAAGATGTTCTATGGTATATTTTAGGTTGTTCAAGTAGTATCTATGTGATGCTCTTGTTTTGAATTATATCCTTTTTATTTGTTGTTTCATATTATATTTTATTTTTATCAAGTTGATTATTGTTTTTTATTTTATTATTTTTCATATTTTAATTTAATTCTCACTGGTAAATTTAATTCTCACTCGGATGTTTACGTAATATACACGTGATGTCTTTTTTTTATTTTCATCTACTTTGTGCCTTTTATCTTTTGTATTATTTGTGTTTTCTTCTATCTTTTATTAATTTTCTCTTTGTATTTAAGTTTTTATTTTTTATTCCTTCCTATATATGTTGCGTAGGATTTGCAATTTATTTTTCTCTCTATTTTTCACCGATATTACCATTCACATTAAGTTAATATTTTATTCTCCTAAATCTAGAACATTGTTCTTTTGAACCTAGAACTTTTTTCTAACGAAGACGGAACATTGCTTTCAGGACATAGAACATTGCATCTACTCTACAAAATAGAATGTTCTAACTTCATAAGATTAATGTTCATTAATAAAATTTTATCTAAATATATCCATGTGTGATCTTATTTTGAAGTATTTTTTGTAAGAAACACAATGATGT